AATAGGCCACATTCTACGACTATGCTTAGCGGGTAAGCTTCTTGCATTTTTTGAAAATTTTCATTTTTGTTCTATGCGAATATGTTTAGTCGGCGCGCGGCTCACAGCGTTTCCTCACGGTCTGATCAAATGGCGCATTCTGCCATAGAATGCGCACCAGCATCAACAACCTCCTCGCATTCTTATGTTGTCGAGGAGCCCAGACCATCTAGAGAGTCGATTTTGGAGAAATTGATCAGATTCTTTCGGAGCAGACCTAGTATAGATGCGCTGAAGGAGAAGGGAATTTACAAACGTAAGGGCTTTTGTGTGCACCTGAGTATTCGGGAAACAGTCTTGTACTGAAGTTTTAGATGAGCCAGTTTTCGGCAGCACATTGTCAGCGATTTGCCAAATAGAGAACAGCCTTGTGCCGAAGTTCATTAGGACAGTGACGGAGCTGATAGAAAGCAGAGGACTGGAGATTGATGGGTTGTACCGGTAAGCGTATATTTCTACCTAATTTCTTCTACCTTTAAAAGATCTGTCGAATAATCTTATATTTTTGACTTACAGTCATATTTTTTTATGATCACCAAACCACCGTTCACTCAAATTGAGGGTGATGACAGGCTGCAATAGCGACGGCTCTAAGGCATGCGTCATACTTGGTGCTTAGTCCACTTGATCCGCTTCGTCATTGGTCAGTTCAGTGAGCTGAGCGACCAATAGCGAAGGGCTGACCACACGATTCGCTTGATCCGCTTCATCCTCTTCACCGTTATTGGTCAGTTCACTGAATCGACCAATGACGAAGCGGATCGAATGGATTAAGCGGATCAAGTATGGCGCATGCCTAACTAATTCAACGTCGAAGTTTCAGTGCAAAAATGAATTTCGAAGTGAGAAGTCCACTCCGGAAGGTAGGAGCGCAGGTGTTCGCTCCGCCCATCAACGTGGGTGATCTGAAGGAATTAGTCAAAAGGGCTTATATGTGTCCAAAACTGTCGAAAGTCTAATACTGATAATGAAGGGCGGATTTTTGACAAGTTTAGAGACATTTGGTCCAGTTTTGGGCTTTCAATCTTCAGACCATCCA